GTGTCTGGTATATCAGCAGTGAGGTGAGGGAGAGGAAAGTGAGAGCAAAGGAAGACCACAGCCATTGTGAAGTGATGCTCTGCCTGTCGGTGAAACAGCAAGCTGCTGCGCTTCTGCCTCTCATGTTCCTGCTCATTATTTTTCAGCCTCACATGTTCTCTGCTCGACTTCTTTTTTTCTCCTCACGTGGTTTTATTTGAGTAACCCTTATTTTCCACCTATGCTTCATCAAAAACATGGGATTACTTTGCTTGTGAATGAAAAAGCAGATGATTTTRAAGAAAAGTACCTCTCTTGGAAATTCTGAACACTTCAGACTTTTTATCTACTTCTTCTAAGGAGCCATTGTTGTCCACCAGGTAATGATGCTGCTTCAAAGACTCTCGTGCTAAGATTGTTGGAGTCCTAGCAACGAAAAAAAAAGAAAGAGCAAACCGTGAGGAGAAGGGAGTTTTCAAACATGAACTCCACAGCTCAACATGGATTGATGCCAGGTAACAGGAGCCTCTCCTCGGGTACTTCGACTCTCGATAAAGACTTCTCAAGAGAGGAGAAGGACTCRTCTACAGGATGCTACGAGCAGCTTCTGATTTCCACAGAGGTGTTCCTCACGTTGGGTATCATCAGCCTGCTGGAGAACATCCTAGTTGTTGCTGCCATCATCAAGAACAAGAACCTTCACTCGCCAATGTACTTCTTCATCTGTAGCCTTGCMGTTGCTGATATGCTGGTTAGCGTCTCCAACGCTTCAGAGACGATTGTCATAGCTCTGATTAACGGGGGCAGCCTCACCATCCCCGTCACGTTGATTAAAAGCATGGACAACGTGTTTGACTCCATGATCTGCAGCTCCCTGCTGGCGTCCATCTGCAGCTTGCTCGCCATCGCCGTCGACCGGTACATCACCATCTTCTATGCGCTGAGGTACCACAACATCGTCACCCTGCGGCGAGCGATGCTGGTCATCAGCGCCATCTGGTCGTGCTGCACCATCTCGGGCATCCTGTTCATCGTCTACTCTGAGAGCACCACCGTCCTCATCTGCCTCATCACCATGTTCTTCACCATGCTGGTGCTCATGACGTCGCTCTACGTGCACATGTTCCTGCTGGCGCGCCTGCACATGAAGCGCATCGCGGCACTGCCGGGCAACGCGCCCATCCAGCAGCGGGCCAACATGAAGGGCGCCATCACCCTCACCATCCTGCTCGGGGTGTTCGTGGTGTGCTGGGCCCCCTTTTTCCTCCACCTCATCCTCATGATCACCTGCCCCCGGAACCCCTACTGCACCTGCTTCATGTCCCACTTCAACATGTACCTCATCCTCATCATGTGCAACTCCGTCATCGACCCCATCATCTACGCCTTTCGGAGCCAGGAGATGAGAAAAACCTTCAAGGAGATTTTCTGCTGCTCACATGCTCTTTTGTGCCTAAGCTTTGTGTAAAGTGGAGCTAAAAGCCTTGGCATCGCAACCTTGTACAATTTTGGAAAAAAAAGTGTGGAAGGGGGGCTGCTGTAAATGATCAAGGCACTCACCTCTACTCTCATAAGTCAGGTTGTTTAAGAGGAAGGATTGTTTGAAAGCTTGTCGATTTGTAGATAAGTGTTGTTTTGTTCATTCCCAACAATCTGTAAATACTGTCTAATCATTTCMAACCACTAAGATCAAGAGGATTAGGATAGACTTAAATATTTCAGTCCATACTTGTTCTCAAAACTGACAACATTCAGACTTTTAATGTCATTTTCACTTACTTTCTTTTTCATTGATGAAAATATGTCAACAGTTTGTTATTTATGACACAGTGAATTGTGGATAAGCTTTTAAACCTCTTACAAGTAAACCGTGAAAAAAGCTGAAGTGTTTTTACCTTTTTTTTTCTTTTTTTTTTTTTGCCAAAGAGTGAATTTTACTTGAGTGCAGGTGAAAACAGAAATCAAAAACAGGGTCTGTGTGATTCTATTACTTTTTTTCTTGACCAATTTAAGCACTTTGGATTGAACTGGACTCTAAAAGGGTTGGAGACAACAAAACATGAGCATGAGCAACAATCACAGACTTTCTGCTGTTGTCTGTTTAGTCTGAAATATGGGAAGGCTCTGTTGTTAAAGGATGAAAAAATCTCAGGCTGGGCACTTTCTGAATAACTTGAAACAGTTTTGCTTTAGCATTTGTTTAATGTTGCTTTAATTTGCACATCAGCTGTCAAATATGTTCTAAACAGTATGAGAAAAATGACTGAGAGGGTCTCTTTAACTGTGATTTATAGGCAAGATCCACTGAAACAATGAAACCCATCAATAACATCTGCTGGCTTTACGTCAAACCTCTTGTGAGTTTGTGGATATTTGGTGATAAATTTGCACATGTGAGCTGTTCTTACCTTGACGTCAGGCACGTACACGTGACTATAAAATGAGCTATTTTTCATTATATTCAAGGACTGACACTAATGAATGTATTTTTGTTAAATGTGACATTGCTTTTTTTGAAATCCTTGCCTTATTTATTTTAAATAGTGACGCACAAAGAAATTGTGTTCTCTGTGAAAATATTTCAAAATAATATTTATGTGCAATATATTTGCAATGTTGCCATTTCTGTTATTCATGCCTTTATCAAGCCAAAAGCATTCCCACAATAATAAAATGCACAAGAAAGCAAATGTAAACCGGTGTCTAATTTTCTGTCTGTGGCTTCGCCTGAAATGTGAATTATGTGTCCAACTGTAAAGATGTTTTTATCTCCCCAGTATAAACTGTGGATCACTGCTGCTATGAATAAATAATCATGCATTCTGAGCCACAGACATGTTTGTGAGCATTTCTCTGGAGCACACATTTTACACACCATTCTTCTCATTTATATATGAAAACAACCTTGACAAATTATATAAAAAAACACACTCTACAGTAATTTACAAAGCTACAGTATGGTTTAAATTTGACCTGCAGATACAAGCAAAACTTTAGCAAAAAAAAATAAAAAACAAGAATCTCTGCTGAAATCATCTGGTTAATAAATTCAAMATGAATTATTTCAATCCAGTAAAAACAACTTCTGCCTCCATTATAACATTCCCCGAACAGTCATTCTGAAAGCTTCAATCTGAAAGAAAAATGTGATTCATTTACAACTGAATGACATTTGAAAAATAAAACGGTTTGTAAGAGCCATAGGCAACAAGTCTGCTGAACATCAAGGTTGTTTTCCTTTGATAAATTAATATTTCTTAAAACCTTTAAAAGTACAAAAAAGGATGGGTATATAAAAATCTTATAAAAAATAGTACACCTATAAAATACATACAATGTTGCATTCATACACAATTTAWACTGTTTATTACATAGGTACTGACATAAACATGAAGCTCTATGTAAATAAATAAGACAATATAAGCAACAGTGAGTGTATRGTGACTCCTATAAAAAATTGTTTCAGTCCCTAAAAACACACATGTGCATGCCCAAATCCATTAAAGTTCCAAATYAACATTTATTGGTTGTGAAATATTAATGCTCATAAGTGAAGCAGAGAAAATTAGATTTTTATTTCAAACTTCTGCTGCACCTATCAATAGCACTTTTTATTTATTTCTATTTATTTATTTATTTTTGGTGGGACATTTCAAAAAACATCATTCCAAAGTGCAGACAAAAAAATGTGAACTTTTTTTTTGTTTTATCCTTGTAGACTCACAATAACTTTTCAAAACACTGATGTAGCAGCCTGCTTCACACATGCCCACTATCATCACTATAATCTGGAAACCAAAACAACAATGGAGCTCATTGTACTGTTTTACTGCATTTGTATTTTTCTCACCACAAATATATATTTTTTTGCTGAAAAGGACAGCACATTGTTAACTGTGCTAAAGAAAATACAATTTCTGGAGAAAACTAGAGCCGAGCGAACAATGTTCTTTCTCTGGAATTCAAAATGTTGTTGTTCTCACCAACTTGTGGTGCAAAATTTTCTTTTACTTTTATCTTTTTTTTAGGATTTTTATATTTTGAGAGG